AGGGATAAACATACCAATTCAAAACCATTATGTTTTATACAACAAACTGAGTAATTTGACCATATTATAGGCCTGATTGTGACTAAGCCTTTGATACTGGTAAGCTGGTATGCAAACATTTGTGATTGAAGACCAATCCCAAAGACATGATATCCTGTCTGTGCATTTAGTCTCAGCAGACTTTAAGGAGTCAGAATTTGCTTTTCAACAACAAACAAAATAATCATCTGTTTGTATTGTTCTTTCAGTGTTACCTATCACAAGTCCAGGGGGTATGCAGAACAATGTGGCTTTTTCTTAGAGTAAATCATTAGCTTGTTTGTCTTCATTTCTGATTTTTGGCTCTTAAAACGGCTGCTATAATCTCCAACCTAAGTAATGACTTCTTGGGTTGGCATTTAGATGTTAACTTTCTGTTGCCTTCCACTTTTATCTAGTTAGAAAAGAATTTAAGGAAGACTTTGATCAATTTAGTATTGAATAGCACAGTGCTTAATTCTATTGGCCTGTCAGATAATTTTCATACCCTATTAAAAATGCCATAAAATGCATGAAGAACAAAACAGGAAGCATTCAAACAGGAGAAATCCTTGCCATAATTTTTGGTGAGGGAAAGTTCAGAAAGACTATAACAACTGGCCCTAGTTGAGTAACCTTGCTTATTAATGGCAAAATTGTTAAATAATGTTAGTTTCTTTTTTGGAATCCAATGTTAACATTAACAAGTAGAAGCAACAAGAGTAGGCTTTTTTTTCCTTTTTCCTCCCCCTGGGTCATGATGGGACGGGATCAGATGGCAAAAAGCCGGGCGGCCCCGGGGCAGGAGGGATAAGGGGCGCCCTGACAGTAAGGTGGAAGGGTGGGTTCCCGCATGGCCTAGGGGATAGGGCACTCACCTGGGGAGGACAGGGCAGTGGGCTCAAGGGCTACATGTTAAATATATGTAGTATGGATAGTAAATAAAGTATCATCATTAAAAGTTTTTTTTTGCTAAAAGTGATATGTGACATTTTGGATTGTAATATCTCCTTCAGCCTGTAACTTATCAGCTGGATCTTGTCTGTATGAATGCAGGAGCGGCCCCAGGCCAGCTGCAGCAACTGGCACCCTAGGTGGGGTGACGCAATTGGTCCCCTGCCTGAACGGCCATCAATGACCATGACGTCATCATCGGGCGTCCGGGCCAGCGGCTCCCTAGGCAGCTGCCTAGCTCGCTTAGGCTCACAGGCCGCCCCTGTGTGAATGCATGAGGCAGTTCAGCCTTATGACTAGAAAGTGGGACAACTTTTGAGTGCTGTTGTTTCTGTTCCTAGATACAGAAAGAGAGTATATGTGGGCAGGGGTGGAGTGGGGAGGGGAGAGGGTCCAGAGCCAGCTGTTGGATGTCCACACTTGTGGATGTTACTGTGCTTTTTAATAGTGTGCCGGGTGCTCCACAGGTCAGTGCTCATCAGGGCCCTGCTCTTGGGAGATTTGGATGCAACTTCCTGCTCCTTTCCCTGCCAGCAGTGAAGGGGCCTGCCCTGGTGCCCCCACCCCGCTGGAACGGAGAGAGGGAGGCTGATCTGCATGTGTATCCACTCTACTATCCATCAATATGAAGTGGATATCCATGGATATGCAGGGCTCTACTCATTAAACTCAAGAGGAGCTGTTGGGCACTAAGCACTTTTGAAAGTTAGGCCATTTAATGAGCTTCGAAGATAAGATGCTTTCATAAGTCTCAGTCTTGGTCCATATAGAAACTCCATAGGATGTAGCTGAACAGCTGCTGCATTGCAGCAGTAACTACCTAACTTCCCTCCCCTAACCCTTAATACATTATAGCAGTGGTCTCCAACCTTTTAAAGCATTAGATCACTTTTTTATTTATGTGCAATCCAGGATCTACTTCAAACCCAAACAACCTTGCCCTACCTCCTTCCCGCCCCTTCTCCGAGGCCCCACCGCTTCTCACTCCATCCTTCTTCCCCCATCCTCACTCACTTTTATTAGGCTGGAGGCAGAGGTTTGGGATGCAGGGGAGGGGATGCAGACACTGATCTTGGACTAAAGTATTTGGTGTGTGGGAGGGGTTCTGAGCTGAGCCTGGGGCAGGGGGTTGAGATGCAGGAGGGGGTTTGGGGTGCAGGCTATGGGAGGGAGTTTGGGTGCAGGGGGACTCAGGGCTAGGGCAGGGGTTTGGGGTGCAGGAGGGGTTCAGGACTGGGGTAAGGGTTCAGAATGCAGGTTCCACCTGGGCACCACTTACCACAGGTGGCTTCTGGGTGGTGGTGTAGGGGACTAAGGCAGGCTTCTCCCTACCCTGGCCCTGCACCACTCCCCAAAGCAGCCAGCAAACTCTCTCCATCCCTGTTCCCATCTGCTCTGTGGATATGAGGTATAGGGTGGGGATGGGGCACCCTGACATTAGCGCTCCCCCTCCTCTTCTTCCCGTGCCCTGCAGAGCAAGCAGGAGGCTCCCGGGAGTGAGGGACACTTCCAACGTAGAGGGCAGGAGCAGCATGGCAGTGCTGAGAGGGGCAGATGAAGTGCCAGCAGTGGATCCTGATCTACTGGTTGGTGATCACTACATTACAGTGATCTGCGAGTAATGTATATAGAGGCAGAGGGCATCTAGGAGTGTTTGAACATTGATGATTATGGACAACCGATGGTTATAATGTATCACCAGTCAGTCCATGTTCCTGTGTGTAGCAGATTCTGTTTTATTTCTTACACTTCTGGAATACAGAAGGATAATCATCTTCCTAAGAAAAAACATCATTTTAGAGCTTCCACCATGAGAAGACCTTAATGTCATCCAAAGGTTATGCACCCAGGATTCACTTCCTTGCCAAAAAATAGATCTATAGTTTGTTAACTTTCACACACAGAAATCACCTGATGGCTTAAATGGGGGTTATCAGCTGTATAATAACATATATTGATGAGTGTAATTCATCAAATTACGGGCTTGTAGTTTTGCATGTTGTCACAAATACACATTAAATCTCCAAATTCTAGATTTGTATCTCTGATTGGCTAAAAGGTATAAAAACACTATTTAACCTGTTTTTTAAATGAGCTTCTCAATATATCTGAGTGCAGAAGCAAAAGGATGAAGTCAAAACCTTCCTCTGTTGGGTACAAGTCACCAGAAGCTTGGTAGCATTGTTTGTTCCAGCAAGAATGGAACAAATTATATTCAATAAATTGGGTCTTCCTGATATGCTTCTTTTAGATGATATGGTGACTTTGTGTGCTATGTCTAAGGCTTTGTGATTCTGCTATAACAACTGTGTACGAGTTGAAGATTTTGCAGTGTTTTGTGGAGGATAATAGACTGTCCACATCTGACCTGCCTAACATAGGTCTTTGTCATCACCTCACAATAGGCTATTTAAATAATCAAGAAATCCGTGTTTACTCTGAGAATTGAATAAGACCCTTCCTATGGGATTTTTATATATTAATAGTATATATACTTTCCTTTCAGACCTTAATTTCTTTTCAGATAATACATGGTGATATATTCCTGCTTGCTAAACCACCGTGCTCTTTCAGTAATAAAAGTTGCTAACAAATACTGTATTATTCAAGATAATTAATTCTTAATTATATAAAGTCACTTCAACAACAATTCCACAGAGACATTTTATTTAAAGGTAGTTTTTCATATTCCTTTGCCAATCATAAAGGCTCTCGTGCACTTTCCTGACTTCAGTTAGTTTGTGTTTTGGTTTCCTTATTTAAATGATTCTTTTTGGTTGTATTTTTATAATTTATTTGGAGGGAAAAGTGGGCCCAATAATCAGTTACTGTATACTAACACCAGATCAGGATCTAGCCCATACCTCCTTTAATGATTGGGATCTTTTCATTGAATCACACTAAAATTTAGAAAAATTACAAACTTTGATGACGTAAAGAAAGATGCACACTTGACAAGAATATAACTATTGACATGTTTGTCTTCTAGTGAATCCTTAAAATGTACAAAATTTTGTACTATAATTTCTCATTTTGTAACATATTTGGAGGGTGCTGTCTTTAGTATTTTTTCTATCCCAACTTCAGTAAGATTTCTGTGTTCCATAGATGGGTTAGAGATGGAAGAGTTTTTATAGAATAGATTTTCACGAGTATGAAAGCTCTAATATTTTATTTAATTTTTAAAAAGTTAGATCAGTGCTTGCATAGTCTCCTCTTGTAATATTTTTAGTCAAACCATTTTTTTCATGGCTCACAACAGACACCAGTTTAGAAATCCCTGTTGTGACACAAATTCAGCACTTAGTTTTACTCATGCAATCTGTTGAATACATAGGATTGTTTCAGTATAACTCAGGCTAAAATTTGCTGCAAAATCACGTAAGCAATGCTACTGAACAGGTGTTTAATTTTTTGGGAGAATGGGGAGAAGGAATAATGAGGTAGCTAGAGGAGTTGAGAATATTCTTCCCCACTTATGTTGTCCCTGCTGTTTACAGATAAATATAAACTATATAACATTTCCCTCCCATAAATTGTGAAATTTTAGCTGATAATTTCAAATGCAAAATAATTGGGTGAGTGCAGCTCTTCCTTTATCAATTTTGGGTAAATAGTGTATCATTTGTGTTTATATATATTTTCTTCTAGTCTTGTTTCTAAATTTTTCTTACAACAAATTCTGTTTTTTCTTACATTTAATAAAACTATGGAGTTTGACTATTCTTCTCAAAACGTTCCTGTGCAGAGGATATTGGTCTCTAATCTGAACTGTTATTTCTCTTTCTGACCCCATTCAGTTTTGGTGTTTGACATAAATTTCATTGTTATCAGATTTGCTAATTATTTTTTATTTAATATAAAATTCAAAAAATTTGTTTTCATGGTAGTTTAGTATAAGCATTGTCTAAAACTTGTTCTTTAGTCTTTTCTTTATAATTTTGAGTTATATATATATTTGTCAGTAAGTTTAAAATGAGGAAAAAGGTTTTACATTTCCTGCTATCTACTTTTCCCCCTTCATTCAGGGTTGGGAAGAAAGTGTGGATGCTGCCATCTCTCACTTGCTAAGAACATGTCTATCCAAGAGTTCTAAAGAACAGGCCCTGACTCTCAGCAGTCAGTTGAGTATACCCAAAGATACTAGCAGGCTGAAGAAACACATCACCTTGCTCTGCGATAGATTGGCCAAAGGTGGTCGCCTTTGTTTAACTGTAGACACAAATATTCAGCAAACTATGGTCATGCCAGGTAAGATATTACTAGATGTTCTTTATTCAAAATGTTTGCATATATTCAGACCTTTGGTTAAATTTCGAGTTTACTCTAAAATTAGAAAAGCCAGCAGAAATGCCATTTCCTTTCCCTCTCAGAAATTCCAAGATAACTACAGAATAAATATTCTGGAATTTTTAAACCATGTGTCTTTAGAACGATATGTTTTTTTTCTGTACTATTAAATGTAATATAATCCACTATGTTTTTCGTCTTACTAAAACTATTTTAAGCTAAAGTTGGTCTAAACTTGATCAGTAGTTACCACATTTAAAAAACACAGGTAGACTACTAATACAACAGGTAATATCCCCAAGATTACTTTCTGCTTCCTTAGATGCTTATCACTAAATTTGAAGGGGCAAACATTCTATAGTATGTTTGTGTATTTGATCTAATTTATACACTGAAAAACACACCTTCCCTCTGATATGGAAGATAATTATATTGATATCCAGTTCATGGTATATAAATATGAATCTTATAATAAAATGAAGGGTAAATATTTTAAGTACAACAATCCATATTAAAAAAAGAGATGTTTCCTTAAGGAATTATCACAGGATGGCAGTCCATTTTAGACAAGTTGAGTCTAGCCTCACTTGTGACTGATCAGTAACCTCGCAGCTGAGAGTGATCCAGTGATTATACAAGCCAGCAATGGGCTCCAATGAAGAACAACAACAGGAAGGAGGTTGTCCCTTGGCAGTGGGCGGAATGTCAGAGAGTAGGCTCTGGGCCACTGCAGAAGACCCTGTTGTGGTAGATATGGGTACATGAAACATTTAAAAAACTATTGTATCCACTTTATAAATGTTCTGTGTAGCTAAGAAATTGGGATTGAATTCTTGTTTCATGGGGAAGTTAGAAAGGTATTCTGCAGGAACTAAAATCACTGGAGGGTGTAATTTAATACAAATGGCTAGACAGGTAACAAGTTTGAAGAAATTTTACCACCAGAGAGGAAAGTACTCAGTTTTGACCTGGTTACAGTGGCCTAGCAAAGAGAGAATGGAAAACTGTGTAATGGGATCACCCTGACAGTTAGGAGAGATAACCTTTTCACTTAATCCAAACCCTGACTTGAGTCTGTGACTGAGAGGGACAGCTCCCATAAAAAGGTCTGAAGTATTTTGAAACCTCCCAGATTCTCCATGTGGAGGATGATGATGCCTTGGTAAGGATGCATGCAAGCTTATTTGTTGCATTATGATCTGTTTTCATTGTAATGCTTTTGTTCTGAATAAATAATACTTTGCTTTATATGTACTGACAAATCACTGGTTAACCCTATTGTTTCCCCTGAGAGAACAGGATGGCAGGTGCTAAACTAAAATCAGATCTTCTGAGGTTATCACAGTAAAGTGGAGAGTAGCCTAAATCACCAGGTTCGGAGACAAGACCTGGGATGCTCATAGAGGTGATGGCTAGAGTCCTAAGGCCTAATTGGTGTACCCTCAAAGAGGCTGTAAATCAGTGGTTCCCAAACTCTTTGGCATCACGCCCCCCTTTTTGATTTTTGAAAAACCCTCACGCGCCCCCCTCCCCAAAAAGCAGCAAAGCTTGTTGAGCAAAAAAACAGGGCAGCAAAACTTGATGGGGGGCGGGAGGCTGGGTCGCCTTGTGCCCCCCCTGGAATTTCTTCATGCCCCCCAGTTTGGGAACCCATGCTTTAAATGATTCAGAGAGTCCATTATCTCAGGAATTGAAACCTGGATTAGGGGAAAAGACCAGGAGTACATATGGATCTATTATTGAACTGTTTTATTGTTTGGAAGAAGAAACTGCCTTGAAAGAAGGGCGTGATCACATTTTTTAGGCCCACCATTATCATTCCTGGGCTAGGAAAATAGGTCAACAGCCCTAAAGGAGTGAAGTAAAGAACACAAATTTAGACTGTTGTAAAGGTGTGTTACCTCCTTTGGGCAAGTAGGGGTATGTCTACATTACCACCCTAGTTCGAACTAGGGTGGTTAATGTAGGCAACCGAAGTTGCAAATGAAGCCCGGGATTTGACTTTCCCGGGCTTCATTTGCATCTTGCCGGGCGCCGCCATTTTTAAATGTCCACTAGTTCGGACTCCGTGCCCGCGGCTACACGTGGCATGGACTAGGTAGTTCGGATTAGGCTTCCTATTCCGAACTACCGGTACACCTCGTTCCACCGTGTAGACATACCCTAGTAGATGAAATTCAGGGCATTGAAGAGTGGTTTCCATTTGAATGAGAAACAGGCAACTAGGAGTTGGGGTATTTTGTGTAATTAATTTATGGTGTGGGTGTCTGTGTATGTCTCCTTTTTCCCTGGGCTATGATAGGAACAAGACTGTATTCTAGGCACTTGTTTGTGGAAACCTTTGGGATAGGATCTTTGCCCTGCTACAAGAATCACTTTTCTGCTTTCTTCCTTCTTCAGAGACCCAAACACACTCGCAGGAAGAGCTAGTCTCTCCTGTGAGCTCTCAAACACAGTCTTTTACCAGGCCCTTCATTTAAAATGTTGAAGAAGCCACCATTAGCTATGGGATCTTGTCAGGTGGATCCAGCCACCAAACCCCTTATTTTGTCTGCAGTAGTTTTTACTATATAAAAGTGCTTTTGTTAAGCAGTTAGTACAGTTGTTTACTTGCACATGATCAGTGATCCCATTGCTACTTAGACTGTGTCTTCCATCACTGACCTGTTACATTATTGGAATATTAGTAACAGAATGAATGAAATCTAGGTGTTATCATTGCTGCAGCTCTTGCTGAATTGAGTTTTAATTGGACCCTTGACAGTCACACCTGTCTGAGTAACAATGAAATGTTAAAGACAGCTCTGTTGAGGTAAGTGCTAGGAAAGTCTAAATTTAGACACAGGATCAGGTTAACTTCATATTTCCGAGTTCAAATTAGTCAGAAACTCAATATATTAGGCTGGTTTTAATAATTTAATTTAAAGATTGAAGCCTGATTCGGGTGAAATAATATTGGCAGAATGCTAGTAGGACAATTTTCTGGTTAAGGTGGAATTTGGAATTAAGTATTGTGAGAATTTGGAGTAAGAACTTTCTAATTTTAAGTATCCCAACTGCTACTAGAAACTGACAGGATCTACAGCCCATAGAGAATGCGGGCAGTCTACACATTGAATTAGATCTTTAATGGGCATAATTTAAGATTGTTGTGGCACATTGTTGAATAAAGTCTGCTCTTTTGCTTTCAGTAAGATATAGGACCATATTGTGGCCTATCAGATTCAGAGGAGAGTCATATAATGTATTTGAAACTGGGCTCTCAGGCAGAGCGTTAGTGAGGTGGTGGAATGGTGGAGGGAGGATGTGGGGAAGGGAAATTTAGTGAGCATATACTTGGAACAAAACCCAACAATCATGTAATTGGTAAGATGCATGCCAGCCATCAGCTTGACTACCTCATTTGCATGTTGTATTTGCATCTCACACACCCCCCTCACAGACTCAATGTGCATTTATCTTTATTTTTAGCTTGTAAAGTCTTCATGATAGCCACTGTTTCCCTTTTATTGAAAAGTATATAGCTCCTGTAGGCCCTACCATATTATTACCTTCTTACTATATATTTAAAAAATGTGCACCTGTCCATCTGTCTGTGAGTCGGTTTGTTCAAGAAGTTTCCCTAAATGGTAAGAGCTAGGACCACCAAATTTGGTTTGGCCATATCACAATGTAAAGCCCGGTACGAGTTTGGTTGTGCCAGGGCAATGGGATATGCCTGGAATTTGATTGTTTCTCAAAAAATGGAAGGGGAGGGGGGTCTGATAGGAGGGAGTTATACTCTAGAATGTCCATGAGGGGGTCAGAAAGGGGCCAGAAATGGAAACTGGGACAACTGTAACCCCATTGTGCCAGCAGAAGGTAGGGGAGGGAAAAGGGACAGATATCTACTATATATTTCAGAGAGTTGGTCTGTTTGTGTGTTTATCCTCTAGCCAGGGGATATGCACCCTTTCCCTGGTTGTTAGGATTGCCAGATGGTTTAACTAAAAATACTGAACACTCCCCCCCAGCTCCCTCCCCCCCAAAAAAAACCCAAACACAGGGGAAAAATTCTATTGTGAAAAAAGGGGGAGATCAAAGTTGTTGAGGGGGGAAAAAAAGGGACCCTGAGAGTTAAGCATAAAAAATAAAACAGCATGGCCCCTTTAAGAAAAGCTTTTGAAGTTTTTTGCCAGCGGCCATCTTGTTTTCCTGATCGAGCCAGAAGACAGCTTCTCTGTGGAACCAGGTAATCTGGGAGGGCTCGGCCCGGTTGCTGAGTGTGTGTAGGGTTGCCAAGTGTCCAGTAACCTGGTAACCCTACTGGTTGTGCCTGCTGATGCAGCAGCAGCCATGGACATGCACTTCTCACCTGGTTCCAAGCTTCTGGTGTGAGAGGGGGCTGGGGTTGTCTGCTCTCTCTTGAACCTCTCATCCCTAGCCTCACCCCAGAATGATGATTTAAATGAAGAAAAACAAAACTTACTTGAGTTAAGGACCTGAGCAATACTGGGTAAATCTTATAGTAATAACAATAATCATTGTGGACATCCTATCATTTTGTTTTGTAATATCTGGCATTCATTCAAAGCCATTTCCATGCTGTGTGGAATGTCAAACATATATGTATACACTAAATCTCTAGATGCCTGTATAGATTTAAATAACTCTTTATGTCAAGGAACAGGTCTTTGAATGTGTTTGATCAAGTTGCACAATAGAGACTTGATTCTAGTTGAGAATTTTGTTTTTACTGTAATATGAATATCATATAATAATTATGGAAAAATAAAGTTTGTAGTAAAAGGCTTAATCTGTATAAATGTGGGATACATTCATTGTTCATGAATGATGTAGGAAAATTCTAAACAAGTGCTAATAAATTATGCTATGAAAATACCATACAGTTATGCATTCTGTACATACTGTATATTTTAAAGAGTATCTGTTTTATAAATATTATAGATAACTTAACAGTA